GCCCTAGTTTGTTTTGTTTTGTTTTGTTTTTGTCTATGAGAGTCTTTATTTGCCCTTCATTTTTACATTTTGGTAAAATATATGTAACATAAAATAAACCATTTTCATCACTGTTAAGTGTACAGTATAATGACATTAAGTACAGTCACAATGTTGTGCAACCATCACCACTATCCATTTCCAGTTTTTTCATCATCCCAAACTGAAACCGTGCTCATTTATCCTTTACTTAACAAATGATTTTAATGTGAGTTTAGTCGACACACAACATGACGTTAGTTTCAGGTGTACAATATAGTGACTCAATATGTTTATATATTATGCTATGCTCACCACACATATAGCTACCATCTGCCACACATACATCACTATTACAATTTCTCCTTTACTTTTGAATGATGTTTTCACTCAACAGTATACAGAATACTGTATATAGAATTCTTGATTGACAGTTTTTTCTGTCAACACTTAAAAGATGTCACTCCATTTTTTTCTTGCTCACATGATTTCTTTTTTTTTTTTTAAGTTTATGTATTTATTTTGAGAGAGAGACAGGAGGGGCAGAGGGAGAGGGAGAAAGAAAATACCAAGCAGGCTCTACGCTGTCAGTGAGGAGCCCAATGTGGGACTCAAATTCATGAACCATGAGATCATGACCTGAGCCAAAACCTAGAGTCAGACGCTTAACTGACTGAGCCACCCAGGCACCCCTCTTGCTTGCATGATTTCTGAGAAAAGTTGTTGTACTTATCCTTGTTCCTCATAGGTAAGGTGTATTTTTTCCTCTGGCTTCCTGCAAAGTTTTTTCTTTGTCTTTGGTTTCCTGAAGTTTGAATATAATACACTTACATGTGGGTTTTTTGGTATTTACTCAGCTGGTGTTCTTTGAACTTCTTGAATCTGTGGTTTGGTGTCTGTTGCTACTTTTGGGGAAAAAAAACTTGGCCATTCTTTTTTGTAATATTTTCACTGTCCCGTTATGTCTCTCTTCTTCATCTTCTTCTGGCATTACAGATATGCACATGTTACACCATTTGGTAGAGGAAGGGTTGGAAGATGGGGGAAGAAAGAAAGAAGAGAGAAAAGACAAAATGAGGGAAGCAGCAAGATGAGAGAGAATCAAGGAAGAAAGAAGGAAGATAGGGAGGAGAGTCTTCAAAAGAGGGAAGAGAAGGGAGAAGGAGGATAGAGAGAGAAAGAAATGAGAAGAAGGGGGGAATGGAGGGAGGGGAAAAGTGAAGGGAGACAGGAAGGAAGAGAAGAAGAAAATGAGGAAAATAAAGGAAGGATAATTCTCAAAATGATAAGAACATAATTCTCAAAGTAGATATACACGTGGCAAAGATTATTTAATCCATTAATGAGGGAACCAGATGTAAACAAAGCTGGTTCAAAAGACAAATGAAACACTAGGATTTTTTATAGGAAAAAAAAGAAGTTCTGAGTTAAACACAAAATTACTACTGTCTGATTTTATGGCATTATTATTTTTTTTAATTTTGGTGGAGGGTCACCATCTCTACCAAACAGAAAAGATAGTCATCATGACTTAGCTGTTTGGCAGAATTGTAAAAACCTTGGACCCTGGTTAATTGTGTAAACAAAGTAACATTCCAATTTTGGAATGAGATTATCTTTAAATGGGCCTGTTAGAAAGTATGCCTAGCTTGACATGAAAAAGTCCTATAATCATTTTTTTCTTTATTAGATTGTTTTTGAATAATTTCTGAATAATTTTTCTTAGCAGAAGAAAAGAAATTCAGAAGCCCCATTTACTATCCTTCCCATTCCCCAATAGAAAAATGATCCCTACACCACAGTCACCATCTAGAATGTGGTTCCTAAGACTTTACAAGTTTATTTTGGTTGTGAAGGAGAGCAACAGGTATGCACCAGCTGAAAACATCCAGGAGGAGGTGAGAAGTCATTCTGCCCCTCTCCCCACAGTTCCTCCCTTCTCTAAAGCTCATCTCCACTTCCAACTGGAAGAACCCACAGATCACCGAAAGCTGAAAATCATAGAATTCCAGAATCTCAAAATTAGAACAGATTCTGAGAACCACAGAATCTTAGAAAATTGCCAGCTTGGGGCGCCTGGGTGGCTCGGTTGGTTAAGCATCTGACTTCAGCTCAGGTCATGATCTCGTGGTTCATGGCTTTGAGCCCCGCATCGGGTTCTGTGCTGACAGCTCAGAGCATGGAGCCTGTTTCCAATTCTGTGTCTCCCTCTTTCTCTGCCACTCTCCTGCTCATTGTCTCTCTCTCTCTCTCTCTCTCTCTCTCTCTCTCTCTCTCTCCCTCTCAAAAATACATAAACATTAAAAAATAAAAATTAAAAAAAAATGCCAACTTGGAGAAGTTGTTTATCTCAGTCTTGGAACCATTCCATAAAACACCTCCCATAATGGGTCTTCTTAGATGATGCATGATGATCTCCCAGACACTTATCTTGCCTCCTTAAAAAAAAAAAAAAAAAAAAAAAAATCAGTTCTAGGCATTCTCCCTTCTACCACAGCCAAAAGCGATTTCTCCAGATTTCCATGTCCTTTCTCCACTCAGCTTTTCCTGGTCCTGGCTCCTTGACCAGTGGTGCTGTAATTTTCATTTTAACTAATTTGTTAAGTACTTGCTGTGTGCCATAACTCACTGAATAGTCCCAAACCCCAAAAGATCAATACAATCATTTGTACCATTTTCCAGATGAGAAAACTGAGGCACAGATACTGTCCAAGGTGTATTCAGACAATCTTAGGATCATGCTATTTTACAACCATCTAATGATGCTAAAAACCTCACATCGGTTGAGCTCTTTATTCTGTGGCAAACTTCAAAAATCCTATGAAGGAGGTACTCATGTTATCATATCCCAAATACAGAGGAGGAAGGCTCCAGGAGGGAGAGGCTCACTTTCCTAAGGGTTTCATGTCAGTCTCCAGACCCCTAGAGTGTTGCCTCCCGTATGCCATTATCCACGTGTCCTGCCTTGTAAGCTGCTCATTTGGGTTAGAAGGTATCCTGCTTGTTAGGCACACAACTCAGTGCCTGGCACAAAGATGACAATAAATAAATAATGACATCCCTGGTAGCATCATAGCATGTCTTGGTCCCAGAAGGAGGGGCAGATGGCTAGGCATAAAAGGATCCAGGCTCCATTTCATACACACACCCTGTGAAGCTCAAATCATTGTTTCTCCATTTCACTTTGTTCTGGGTGTTTCTCTGTCTCCGTATCTCTTTGTTTCTTTGACTTGTCTCCCTGACCATCTCCGCCTCTGAGTCAATGGTTTTTTTTTGGTAATGATTGAGAGAGGAGGAGAGAGAGGGAGGGGGCGCTAGCTCTCTAGGTTCCTCTTGTTTCTTCTTTCTTGGCCATGTTTCTCTTTCTCAGTCTCTAGGTCTGTCTCCTGAAGCTTCCTTGTTTTTTTTTCTGATTGTCTCTCCTTCTCTCTGTTTCTTTGAATTTCCTTTGGTCTCTGTGTCTTCCTTGATACCTATAGTTGACTCATTCTCTGTCTCTCTCCGCTCTATTTTGATCTCACTCTGGTTCTGTTTCTCTGCACCTTTCTTTTCTCCTTTGTTTCTCTCCAGTCTTGGTCTCCATCTTGGCACAATCTGCCTGTCCATGCATTTCTCTGCAGTTAATTTTCCTCTTTAACTTGCTTGCACCGTTTAGTTCAAGTGTCTCTCCTCCTGGCTTCTTGCCTAGAGTGGGATGGTGAAGGGGGCTGTTCTAAGGACACTTTCTCTTTTCCTGTCTGAACAGAAAGACCAGACTCAACCACCACCATCACAGACAATTAATTAAAGGACTATTCCCGAATGGGTGTAAGTGTATGTGTGTGTCGGGAAGGAGGTCAGGATGGAAGGGAGAAGCCAAAACTGTGAGGGTCATAGGAGGCAGCCTAAAGCTAACTCTTACCCCACAAAAGACATCCTGGTGGCCCATAGAAGATCCAAAAGGTGGTGCACTGGGAGTCACTCAGTTTTCACAGAATCCCCACCACTTCTCTTGGACACAGCATACCTCAGCCCAGCCAGCCAGGTCTTATTCCAAAACCTGCAGGTTCGCTAAGGGATTTATTTTCCAAGTCTGAGAATCTGGACACATGAGAAGGGCATTTGATTTTGTTTAATAACATGTATAGGTAGGATATAATACCCAGGAATTTTGTTTCAGAACAGTAAAGAAGATTGGCAGGTATTTGGTACAAAAAGTGCTGAAAACTGTTTATTTGGATAAACAGACAGCAATCAGTAGGCCATGTTTCTAGAGGTGGGGCTCAGAGGTGGCCTCTATATCTTAGACTTTGAAAATAAATGTGCACACACAGACACACACCAGCAAAGTCCTGCTAAATCAACCCAAGTAATCTTTGATTATTACCATTTAGCAATGGTAGCACTTTGAGTAGAAACAAGAGAACTTGTTGAATAAAACCCTTTCAACTGAGTTATTTCTTTTGCTATTCCAAATCTTCATCTTACTGTATTTTTTTTAATTGATGAATTAGGGTCTGGCAAAGAGAAAGGAGTCATCTTTGTTCTCTACCAAGACTTTCTAAGACAGTGTGGTTACCCTATTTTTGACAGATCGGGAAACTGAGGCCAAGAAGGTTAGGCGCCCTACCCAGTTAAGAAAAGGTGGAGCTGAAATTTGAACCCAGATTATCTGATTCCTAAACACGACAGCCTAAAAATGATGTTCAACTGCCTCCCATATCCTACCAGGACATGTTGAACTAGGTTGAGCTGGGGGACTGGAAATATAAAGAAAGAGGGATGGCCCCACTGGATTTCCCTGGGTGAATTCAATCCACCTTTATTCAGGTGGGTGATTATAGGTTATATAACCACCCTCCAGATCAAGCAATATCCTCTCTAATGGCATCCTTACCCGGAAAACTTGAATCTCAGGGTGTTCAGATTTCTGCACAGCTGATTTTCCAGAACATATTTAAGAAGGATCTGGTGCCCTGGACACAACCCTTCAACCTGGCACCATGGAGCTGGGAGGGGCCTTCACCATCTTTCTGGCACTCTCCTTGTCTTGCCTACTTATCCTCATTGCCTGGAAAAGGAGACACAAGGGGGGGAAGCTGCCCCCTGGTCCCACACCAATACCTTTCCTGGGGAACCTGTTGCAAGTCCGTACTGATGCCACTTTTCAGTCTTTCATGAAGGTAAGTCTAACTACTCCTCTCACAGAGCCAAAAGCAATGAATTCCATAGAAACATGTATAACCTTCTAATGTCCAAAACACAGACTCTTGGAAACATAGACTTCATAAACCTTAGAATACTGAAATTGCAGAATCTTAAACTCTTGGAAACACAGACTCCTGGCACACTGGAACTTAAGACACTCACAATCTCAGGACTTTGGAATCACAGCACCTTACACCCTTAAACACAAGAACTCGTGCTCTCTGATGATCTTAGAACGTTGACACTCAGTATCATGAAATCTTAAGGTTCTAGAAATTAAGCATTGCAGATAGAGAAGCATAGATCTTGGAGCTTAGCTCACCCAGGTCCACCATTTTACAGATGAGGAAACTAAGGCTTATGGAGGTGTTGGGGGGGTGGTGTCTTACCCAGGATCACAGGATCCAAGGCATCTGTGCCTTTTTCTCAATAGTCCTTCCAAGCCCAAGACTCACTTTTATCTGTTATTCCCACATTTATGTTCCCTTGAAATTTCCACCCCTAAAGTCCTTGATTGGTCTATACTTGGTGCTCCAGATAGCTCCTTCCTCTTATGTCTTCCTTCACTCCTAGCTCAGGGAGAAGTATGGCCCAGTCTTCACTGTGTACATGGGTCCACGGCCTGTAGTTGTTTTGTGTGGACATGAGGCAGTGAAGGAGGCCCTGGTAGACCGAGCTGATGAGTTCAGTGGCCGTGGAGAACTGGCTTCAATAGAGCGAAACTTCCAAGGTTATGGTAAGTAACAACAACAACAACAAAATGGTTATACACTCCCTATGTCCCCAGTTCTTTGATAAGTGCTCTACATGAATTATTACATTGACTCCTTTGAGAGAATATTAATGTCTTACTAATTTTGCAAATGAGGAAACTGAGGGTGAGAAAGGTTAGGTAATATATAGTAAGTGGTAGAACCATTTTGTTTTGAACCCAAGCCCTCTGATTCTTGAGTATCAGCCCCATTACTTTTGTTTTTAATGTGTATCCACTGAAGCCCTTATAGCCAAACTTCTTATTTCTCTATACATATACACACACTCAACCCATAGGTCTCTGCCGCCTCCATTTAAGTAGATATCTTTTTAGTGTTATCTATACACCCATCTCTAACTGCCCACACCTTTCAATTCCAAGCTCTGTCATGCTCTTCTTTCTATACTTCCTTCTATCCATCCATCCACATACATCTCCTTCCATTTATCCACTTTTCCATTGACCCATACATCCACCAAAAAATCCATTTATTAATTAGCCTTTCTTATTCTTTCTTTCTTTATTTTTTTAGAGAAGAGAGTTCATGAGCAAGAGAGAGGGGCAGAGGGGGAGAGAGAGTCTTAAGCAGCCTCCATACTCAGTGTGGAGCCCAACGGGGGGCTTGATCCCAAAACCCTGGGATCATAACCTGAGCTGAAATCAAGAGTCAGATGCTCAACCAACTAAGCCACCCAAGCATCTATCTTTCTATCCAATTTATCTATCAAATCCAATTTATCTATCTATCCAATTTATCTATCAAATATCTTTCTATCCAATTTATCTAGACATCTATGAATTAACTTTCCATTTACCCCTCTATCCATCATTCATCCATTCATTCATTAATCTTTCCATCATTCACTCATCTATTAATCTTTCCATCCTTATATCTTTCCAACCAATTATACTCTTATCTCAAACTATCTATTATTAACTCTTTATTCATCCATTGAGTCTTTCTTCATTCATCAGTCATTCCAGTCAAAAGCTCTTTCTTCCATTCATTAATCCACTGAAATAATTCATTAAGTTTCCAAACATTAATTCATCAATCCATGCACATCTAGTAATTTCTAAATGTTTCTTACTAGAAGGGAATTCCTTTTGTGTAGGTATATTGATGTACAGGTGTAAGCTTCTGTGTATATGCATGCTTATGTCTAGAGAATCCAAATGGTATGAGAAAATAGAAGTAGTCCCCCATTCCAGGATATTGTGTATGGCATTCTATCTGTACCTCCCTCCACATTCCTATGCATCCATCCAGTTATTTATCCTTTTCTGGGTTTTTATCCTGTAAGAAACTCTCCTTCATCTCCCCCAATCATTGCCAGCCTAATTTCCTTTCCCTCCATCTCAATCCTAGACTGTTTTTGAGGTCCTGTAGGGAGGGAACCACAGTCTCTCCATCAAGCCTAGGAAGTTGGGAGGGGCTTCCTTGAGAGCAGAGTCTAGAGCTTTCATAATTTATCCCAATCCTTGTGTATCACAGAGTTGGACACAGGAAGGGGAGGGGAGGCAGGAGGCTGACATTGAGATTCTGGCAGGTGTAGCTCTGGCTAATGGAGAACGATGGAGGATTCTCCGACGCTTCTCCCTGACCATTCTTCGGGACTTCGGGATGGGAAAACGGAGCATTGAGGAGCGGATCCAGGAGGAGGCTGGCTTCTTACTAGAAGAATTACGGAAGACCAAGGGTATGGAGGTCACAAGGGGCAGGGCTACAAGATGACTGAATGGTTATAGAGAGCTCAGTCGTGAGAAGATGGGCCTTGGTGGGAGAAAGCTCTAGAATGGGAAAGGATGAAAAAGACTAAGGGTTCACTAAGATTTCCAGCCAGGTTCCATGTTAAAAGTTAACATGAAAGACCCTTCAAGACCACTTGTGCAGAAGCTTTAATCAGTGGATCTCAAGAATTTTATGAGCTCCTGAAATCATATGCAGACTTTTACAATGTGTAAATTAGCACCTTTTTCTGGTGACAGGATCAAATTTAATTACATAGATCTGTATACATATAACACATACATACAATTGTTATAAAAACATAACATAAATTTTTACCATCCTAACCATTCCTAAGTGTACTTTTCAGTGTTGAGTATGTTTACATTGTTGTGAAACAGATCTTTAGAATTTTTTCATCTTGCAGATCTGAAACTCTTAAGCCCATTTGATTATATTTTTTAAGGAGTCTGATCGCTGCCCCAAAATAAGGTCTGGAACCAATGGGATTTGGAGAAGAAAAGACATGGAAGCTAAGAACTACAGAGATGAATAGATAAGAGATAGATAAATTTCTCAAAATCAGAGATTCTTCTTCTGGGTCTCATGGATGCTAAACAGTCTACATAAAGGCTTTGAACATTCATGTACCCCCAGAAATTATTTGCAAAATTGTGTATTTGTGACTATGAAGCGTTGTGTTGGAGAAATTGTCCCCCAATCCAGCATCCTGTTTTATTTTTTAATTTTTTTAAATTATTTTTTAATGTTTATTTATTTTTGAGAGAAAGAGAGAGTATGAACAGGGGAGGGGCAGAGAGAGAGGGAGACACAGAATCAGAAGCAGGCTCAAGGCTTTGAGCTGTCAGCACAGAGCCCGATGTGGAACTCAAACCCACGAGCAGTGACATCATGACCTGAGCTGAAGTCCGATGTTTGACTGAGCCACCCAGGCACCCCCAGAATCCTATTTTAAATGGTGCAGCTGAGGCCAAGGGAAAATTTTTCTTAATAGCTCAAATGGAGTCATTGATAGAGATACACAGAATTCAGCCATCTTTTTCCCCCTAATGTGTCCCATACCACAACTTCTTTCCCAAATCTGTGACTCTACAGCACAAACACAATTAATTAAATACTAATGCCAAAAGGTGATGATTAAACTCCACTAGCATTTTCTGAGTACTTACTACATGCAGGGACTGTGCTAAGCATTTCACATGGATAATTATATTGAAACCTCAGGTTTAGTGGTTACTAAACCAATTTGCAGACTGGGAAATCTAGACTCAAAATACAAACAAAACAAAACAAAACAAAACAAAACAAAACAAATGAAGTAACTAACACGTGCTATGAACCAGCGGAGTCAGGACTCATATCTGTGACTGAATGATTCCCCATCCCATGCTCCTAATCATTGCCTCTAACATAGACAATTTCTATCACCCAGGTTCCCCCATCGAACCCACCTTCTTCCTGAGCCGCACTGTCTCAAATGTCATCAGTTCTGTCGTCTTTGGAAGCCGCTTTGACTATGAAGACAAGCAGTTCCTGAAGCTGCTGCAGATGATCAATGAGAGTTTCATTGAGATGAGCACACCCTGGGCCCAGGTGCCCACCAGCCACCTCCCTGCCCACCCCCAATCTCAGTTAACTAAGCATCTGCCTATACCTCACTTAATCCTCCCCACAGCCCAGGGAGGCAAGTATCAATATGCCCTGAGTCTCCAAGAAGCAAATGGACTCACCCAATCCTCAGACCCAGTGCTGGATGTTCAGCCTGACTATCTGGCTCTAGACTCAGCCTATGCTGACCCCAGGTGCCCATTGTTGACAAACCCTCTTTGCCTATTCCCCACAGCTATATGACATGTATTCTGGAGTCATGCAATATTTGCCAGGAAGACACAATCGCATCTACTACTTGATAGAGGAGCTCAAGGACTTCATTGCCTCGAGGGTCAAGATCAACGAAGTATCTCTTGACCCACAAAACCCTCGGGACTTCATTGACTGCTTCCTCATCAAGATGCACCAGGTACTTCTTCCCTTTTCCCCAATCATTTCCTCTCATTATCATTAGCCTATAAACTGCAACTTTAACCTATAAACGTGTTATAGACAAAAGAGAAAGTATTGTTTCACATGGTTGACTTTTATTTATGGATGAGATATAGAAACTGTAAAAGCATACATAAACTCTTACACCTTTAAATAAACTTTGAATCTAAAAATTTTAGGAGCAATGAAACTGAAAACCTGACCCCTTTTAAATCATTTATGATTACAACTACCAGAGACTTACAAATACAGAAAACCAGTCTTTACAGTCTTAGAATTTGAGAAGCTTAGACTTTTAAGTCTTTAAGCATGAGTTTAAACTTAAAAGTCTTCAATATGGGGGCGCCTGGGTGGCGCAGTCGGTTGGGCGTCCGACTTCAGCCAGGTCACGATCTCGCGGTCTGTGAGTTCGAGCCCCGCGTCAGGCTCTGGGCTGATGGCTCAGAGCCTGGAGCCTGTTTCCGATTCTGTGTCTCCCTCTCTCTGCCCTTCCCCCGTTCATGCTCTGTCTCTCTCTGTCCCCAAAATAAATAAACGTTGAAAAAAAATTTATAAAAAAGTCTTCAATATGTAGAAATTTAACTTCTGTATCACAGAGTCTTAGAATTTTAGAAACATATATATTTTTTATTATACAAACCTCAGCACTTGGAAGTTTACAATTATATAGCTTAATGTCCTAGAACTTTCAAATCTGTACTTTTTTCTCCTCCTTTTCCCCTCACTGTCCACTCCAACCGCACTGGCCTCCTCCTTGTTATTTCTCTAACACACCAGGCGCCCTCTTGCCCCAGGAACTTTGCTTTGGCTATTTCCTCTCCCAGATACCCACTTAGTTTACCCATCAGTTGTGTTTTCACAAAGGGAGAAAAGAAGAAGATAAAGACAGAAGGTAATTCGATTTCCTATCCCTCTCGTTTTCAGGATAAAAATAATCCCCACACGGAGTTCAATCTCAAGAACTTGGTCCTCACCACTCTCAACCTCTTCTTTGCGGGCACAGAGACTGTGAGCTCTACACTACGTTATGGATTGCTGCTAATGATGAAGCATCCTGAGGTGGAAGGTGAGGGTCCACTTGAACTGCTTACCTGGTGACTCCCACTCCCAACAGAGAAGAAGATGTACACGCAATACTTTATAACCCCATAGCTTTACACTCTTCACACTTCAGAATCTCAGGATATGGAATCTCACAATCTCTGGCTTGGAAGGCCATTTAATTGAATCTTCTACTTGGTGCCTATGTTAGTTTCCTATGGCTGTCATAATAAATTAACAAAAACTATTATCTTACAGTGCTGGAGTTCAGAAGTTCACACAGGTTTTCACTGGGCCAAACCAAGGTAGAATCAGATTCCTTGCTTTTTTCAGCTCTGAGAGCTGTATTTCTTGCATTCCTGGGCTCATGACCCTTCCTCCATCTTCAAAGTCAGTAGCATAGCATCTTCAGATCTCTCTGCCTCAGTTGTCCTATCTTCTTCTCTGACTCTGACCCTTCTGCTTCCCTCTTATACGGACACTTGTGATTATATTTAGGGCCAACCTGAATAATCCAGGATAATCACCACATCTCAAGATCCTTAACTTAATGATGTCTTCAAAGTCTTTTTTGTCCTATGTGGTAACATGCATGGGTTCCAGGGATTAGGAGGTAGATATATTTGATGGACATTATTTAGCTGACTATAGTGCCAGAATCAGACAGACTCCATCTCCAACAATTGCAATCTGGTCTGGTTGGGTAACTCTAGCGATGAGGAACTTATTCCTTGCTTAAGGAAAACCCCTAATTTTGGCCTCTCTCCCTTCTAATGCAGTTCAAAACAAGCCAAAAAATTTTTTTCCTCATTATAGATGATGGGAGAGATTAACTTGATTCCACTCAAACTTTTCTAGTCTCTCCTCCATTGTCCTAGTCATGTTTTACTAATCTAAATAATCACATATTTAATGGACACCTGCTATGTGCTAGGTGCTGTTCTAGTTACTTGCATACTGGATTTTATGTAAATTTTACAACTCTGTGAACTTGGACCATCACACCCATTTGGAAGATGAAGAAACAGGCTCAGAAGGTAAAGCCATTTGCCTCAAGGTCACTCATCCAGGAGGTGCAGGGAGGGGTAACTGCACCAATAGTGTTCTTAATTCCTGTTACATAATTGCTGTCACTTGCTTCCATCTTATCCTCGTTATGTATTGTACTTTTTTCCAAGTCTGTCAAAAGCCTGTGTATGAAAGCCTATCTGGGGTGGGGACACTGACCTGCTCATTCGTGCTTTCAAGATAAATACCAAACATCCCAGTGGGCACTCAAGGCTCCAGGCTGTGTGCCTCCCAATGGTCTGACGAGTATTTATTAAGCCCACCAATGTGTCAGGTGTTAAGAATAAAGGGGCAATGCAAACACGCATGGTTGGCTCCCTCAGGGTCCACAGGTATTAAAGATACAAACCCATAGCCTAGCCTTGGCTTTTAGAAACACGCCCTGTGTCCTTGTCTGCTTTGTTTTCTGGCCCCTTCTAGCCAAGATCCATGAAGAGATTGACCAGGTGATTGGACCACACCGAATCCCAAGTGTGGATGACCGAGCCAAGATGCCCTACACAGACGCTGTGATCCATGAGATACAGAGACTGACAGATATCGTACCCATGGGTGTCCCCCATAATGTCATCCGGGACACTCATTTCCGAGGCTACCTTCTGCCCAAGGTGGAGTTGGGTTCATTGTTACCCTTTCTTCCTCTACCCCACCCGTCTCTCCCCCTGGTACCCCGCTCCCATCCTCCAACACTGATTTCTCATAACTTTCCATTTTCATCCCAGGGCACCGATGTGTTCCCTCTACTTGGCTCTGTCCTCAAAGACCCCAAATACTTCCACAACCCAGATGCCTTCTATCCCCAACACTTCCTGGATGAGCAGGGCCGCTTCAAGAAGAATGAAGCCTTTGTACCTTTTTCCTCTGGTAGGTTTCTATGGCCTGAGTTCACCCCAGGAACATGCTAGATGTGCCCCCCCAACCATTGGTCTGTATTTGACATTCAAGTCTGAATGGAAGTTGAATGCTATTTCCCAGAATCCCAGAATCTTGGAATCATAGGATATTAGAAGCATTGACTCTGATAATTAGAAAAGGAGTAGCACTAAACAGAGGTCAGCAAACTCTTTTTGTTAAGGATGGAATAGAAAATATTTTAGTTTTTACCAGCCATATTGTATCTGTCTGAACTATACAGTCTGAACTACTCAACTGCCCCACTGTCCTGCAGAAGTGATCACGGACAGTACAAAAATGCATGAGAAAGTCTGTGATGCCAAAAACCTTTATTTATGAAATTTGAATAGGCATAGAAATTTAAATTTCATTGAATTCACATGTCACAGAATGTTACCTTTCTTTTGATTGTTTTCAACCATTTAAAATGTGAAAATCATTCTTAATTTTCTTAAAGTATATTTTTTAAATTTTTTAATGTTTATTTATTTTTGAGAGACAGAGAGTGACAGAGCATGAGCATGGGTGGGGCAGAGAGAGAGGCACACACAGAATCCAAAGCAGGCTCCAGACTCTGAGCTGTCAGCACAGAGCCTGATGCAGGGCTCGAACTCACAGGCTGCAAGATCATGACCTGAGCCAAAGTCAGATGCTTAACCGACTGAGCCACCCAGGTGCCCCTGCATTCTTAGTTTTCTTAAAGAACAAATATTCCGTTGAGTGAATTTGAATATATAATTGGATTTATTAAGTGATTTGTAGAAATGGAAGGTCTTTATAGGAAGGAGGGTGGCCAAGAAGTTATTAGCAAAGGAAAAGAAAGGATTGTTTCAGGCAAGGTCACCTTCCCCTAGGGGAAAAGCAGGGGGCCTTATTAGATGAATTACCTCATTTTCCTTTGGGGGATGGAGAGGGTACATGTGACAGCTCACCTCATTGGAGTTGATCAAACAATTCCTAACTGGTTAAGACTCCTTTTCAGGAGGGGAGGTTGAAACTGCCATTAGGTTAGATATTGAGCCTGGTTTGATGACTTGGCCTAACATAAGTGATTCCATTTTGGGCCTGTGGTTTTCTTTTTAATAGTTTACAGGCAGTACAAAAATAGGCAGCAGGTGGTTTTGCCTAATGAACAGTAGCTTGTGACCCATGACATACTAGCTTAGAATAGTATTTTAAGTATAAACCACATTGAACCTGGAGTCAGTGCTGTGGTTAGGAAAGAGGACCCCACTCCATCATTTACAAATGGTAGAATCATAGGGCACCTGGGTGGTTCAGTTGGTTGAGCTTCCAACTCTGGATTTTGGCTCAGGTCATGATCCCAGGGTCTTGGGATATAGCCCAACCACTGGCTCTGCGCTGAAGGTAGAGCCTGCTTAGGAGCCCCCCCCCGCCCCCCCCCGCTCTCCCTTCTACCTTTCCCCAGCTTATGGTTGTGTTCTCTCCCTAAAAAAAAAAAAATAATCTCATAGTTCTCATAATGTCATAGTTCATGAGTTCGTTCCGGCCCACTGGGCTAGAGTGGCTTGTGTTGACAATCAGGCCTGAGTAGACCTCTTTGGGGTTCTGCTGTGCCTCCCTCTCTCTCTCCCCCTCCCTCGCTCACTTGCACGTGCTCTCTTTCTCTCTAAAAAATTAAAAAGAAAAATATTTAAAATGGAGATTCATTTCTCCAAACTATTCGAAGAGTGACCAACAAATAGTAAGCACTCTTTAAGTGTGAGCTTTCTTTTCAAAATTTTTTTTCCTCACTAGTATCTGGCACCTAGTAGGCATTTGATAAAGCTTTGAGAAATTGAAATGCACAGAATCTTCAAATTCAAGGATTTTTTAGAACCATTCCATCTTGGGATCTGGTGGAATCAAACCATCAGAGAAGTAGCTGCCACGTGTTGAGCCCCCTTATAAATGGCAAATCCAAGCTGAGCACTCTCTGTAAGAGTCTTTATAATAACCCCACAAAGTAGGTATTATCATGACCCCAGGGATGCTGAGCAGGGTCAGAAGGGTGATGGGGCCAGAAAGCTCCCCACACCCTTATCATCCCAGTGCAGATATGAGCCGACTTCTCGCCCTCCCCTGTGCCCACAGGAAAGCGCATCTGCCTGGGCGAGGCCATGGCCCGCATGGAACTCTTTCTGTACTTCACCTCCATCCTTCAGAACTTCTCTTTACACCCGCTGGTGCCTCCGGATGACATAGATATCACACCCAGGGTCTCAGGCTTTGGCAACATCCCTCCGACCTATGAGCTCTGCCTCAAAGCCCGCTGAGCGCCCCCTATTGGGCGCGAAAGGAACCGTGGGAGAACACAGCTCTTTCCACCGGTACAGGTGCACCACCTCATCTCTAAATTCTCCCAACAGCTCTAAGAGAAGGTACTATTTCTACTGTCATGGCTCTGCAGGTCAGTGAGGGTCACCTGCAAATATTGAGCTGTGTATCGGCTGCATCCAGTAGAAAAGCAATGCGCTGTCCCAGATTTCAGCAACAACCTGGAGTATTTGCATTCTCACGTTCCCCTCCACCCGCATTTCCCATCTCCACCAAATTCTTGCTGTAGATTCTATGTCTTCATGTGTAGGTGTGCACTGATAGTGACCCAAATGTAGTTCACCAATCTTCTCCCTGATTATCATCTCCCACATAAAATAAAATAAAATAAAATAAAATAAAATAAAATAAAATAAGATAAATGCAGCCAGAGTATCAAGACTGTTGTGTGTAGCAGGCTTCTTGTGTGTTGTGTGTGCTATCACTGTAGGACTTCGAAAACAACTTAAAATGACATTTTAGACATCCCTGTTATTCTTTTAATGTTTATTTCTTTATTTTTGAGAGGCAGGCGGGGTAGAAGGAGGGAGAGGAGCAAAGAGAGAGGGAGAGAGAGGATCCCAAGCAAGATCCGCACTGTCATCGCAGAGCCGGACCCGGGGCTTGATCCAACAGTGAGATCATGACCTGAGCTGAAATCAAGAGTTGGAGGCTTAACTGATTGAGCCACCCAGGGGCCCTCAAGACATCCCTGTTACTAATTATCCTTCCTAGCAGTCAACCACCAGGGATTTCCCACTTGATGGTCCACCCCCTTAATACTCCATGTTCAACCGTCTTGCTGGCTCCTTGACCCCACCTCCATCAATCTTCTCTCCCTCTAAATCTGCCTTCCTGGTCTAGAATGAACTTCTTTCACAAGTCCCAGTTCCAAATTCTCCTCATTCCATTTTGATGAATAGTTCAGCCACCCTGACTTCTATTATTCTATTTCCAAACTCCGTCAACATGCTTGCTGGATGAAAGCTTTCCTTCATATTTCATTTTACTCAACCAATGTTTATTGAATACGCAACATGTGCCAGTACCTTCTTCAGGTACTTGGGATCCATCAGTGAACAAAACACACCCAAACTCCTGTCCTGGTGGAGTTTCATTCTAGTGGGAGAGGTAGACAATGAAGAATAAACATAACCAATGAGTAAATGATACAGCATGTTAGAACAGCACAGATTCCAAGTTTGGGATTATAATCAGGCCAGGGTAGGTCTCACAAGGTGTTGGAGGAGCAAGTTATGCAGGTATCTGGGAATAAGTGTTTCTGGCAAGGAGATTAAAAACAGTAGGGGCGCCTGGGTGGCGCAGTCGGTTAAGTGTCCGACTTCAGCCAGGTCACGATCTCGCGGTCCGTGAGTTCGAGCCCCGCGTCAGGCTCTGGGCTGATGGCTCGGAGCCTGGAGCCTGTTTCCGATTCTGTGTCTCCCTCTCTCTCTGCCCCTCCCCTGCTCATGCTCTGTCTGTCTCTGTCCCAAAAATAAATAAAAAACGTTGAAAAAAAATTTAAAAAAACAGCAGAGTGGTAAGGTGGGAGGCTGTGCATGTGTGTTCTAGAATCCGCAAAGTGACTGTAGTTGGAGTGGAGGAGGGAGGGAGGGAGTAGGGGTAAATGGGAAGAGGGCAGGGCATGAAAAGGCCAGATTGTGTGGAGTCTCATGGACCTCAATAAGGACCTGGGCTTTTAGTCTGAGTGAGATAATGGTTCCTGGTGAGCATAGGGTGGCACACACTGACTTTTTTTTGGTAATTTTTAAAAATGTTTATTTATTTTTGAGAGAAAGAGAGAGAGTGCGAGCAAGGGAGGGGCAGAGAGAGAGGGAGACACAGAATCCAAAGCGGGCTCCAGGCTCCAAGCTGTCAGCACAGAGCCCGACGCAGGGCTCAAACCCAAACCGCAAGATCATGACCTGAGCTGAAGTCAAATGCTCAACTGACTGAGCCACCCAGGCGCCCCCATACACTGACTTATTTTAAAAGCAAACTCTAGCTGATGCATGAAGAATAGATTCAGGGAGGGATAGCAGAAATACCAGTTGTGCAAGCGGGGAAAAGTAGGTGGATTTGGAATCTGCTATGAAGATAGAACTGGCAGGGTTTGCTGATTAATTGGATGCAGGGTGGGAGACATAGAGCGTCAGGGATGAGACCTCATTCTTTGGAATCTCTCTCTTAACCTCATGTGTCCCAGGCACATGAGTCCCCATAATGGTTGGTTTTGTAATTTTAGGGAACATGAACAGATTTTGGCTACTTAAGTATATAGGGCTGCTGGCTGCTGTAAGTTTATCAATAAGTGCATATTATTTTCTGAATTCTGGAGACACAGGCTCAGACTGTGAGTAGATAAAAAAAAAAAAAGAGTTAACAGCCAGGGGCTGCTGCCTCCATTGTCCCCCCAATGACACCTGCAACCCTGGTACTGGACCACTGCCATGGGACTCTTGACCCATTGGCACCACTGTGGACAACTTCCTGATGGTATTTGTGATTTTGTGTTACTTCCTCATGATTCAGAGTTCCAGGCAGGACTATCCAGTAAGTCACATGTTAAAGCTTTAGAGCTCAGGGTTTGGTGAGGAAGAATAAATGGCTCTTCCATCTGCTGTGATGGATGGCAAAACCTTGCTCCTCACCAAGAATTTCAGAATAGGGAATTTTCCAAAAACTGGAAGGGATTTTGAGATGGGGTGAGCCAGAAACAACAAACGTCATTCTTATGTACACAATATGTCCATTGGGTGTTCTGGGAAGCAGAGGATGGGTAAGCATTTCACAGAGGGGTAATGCCTGTGAATGATTAGAGAGAGAAGAAACAGAATGGGTCAGGAAGGTCTTCAAATCCAGGTGTTGATGTGACACCTGCGAATGAAAAAAGAATGTATGAAAAAAATTGGGCAGGAAGAGACCCAGATCTCCACACAAAACTGACAGAGTCTCATTCCATCAAAAAAAGTACATCGAGGGGCACTTAAGTGGCTCAATCAGTTAAGCACTACAGTGTAGAGCCTGCTTGGGATTCTCTATCTCCTGTCTCTGTCTCTGTCTCTGTCTCTCTCAAAAATAAATAAGTAAACTAAAAAAAAACAAAACAAAACAAAACAAAAAACAGACACATTCCTATCCTCAGTCCTGCACATGGTTGGGATCTGCTGACACTAAGGTGACCAGGATAGAGTCAGTCACAGACCACATGGCTCATAGTCCAGCACATTAATTACTGGTATCAAGGAAGACCAGTAATATATGGGTTTCATCTAACAAAGACCAGAACCAGAGTTACATAACAGAAAGATGATAGACACAGAAGGAAAAGCTAGGCATTAGGGGAATATGGACTTCATTTTCCTTTTCTTGAATGGGCTGCTGATGAGCTGGCCACTATCAGAGGCTAGTTCTGCCCTTGAGCAGTTAGATGGGTCATCAATAAAAGCAAATGAATTCTTTATGGATTGTCCAGAAGCTCTTGAGACTTTAACTCTGTAGTGTGTGAAAAGCCCTCTCTATCCATATCCATCATTGTCCTTAACACCTTCATGTTTGGTTTTTATCATTTTTTCTTTACTAAAATTTCCCACACTGCTCCCTCATGAGACACATACAGTGTCATTCTTTTCAAAATTTGCCAATTTAATGATCAAGTAAAGGCAACATGCTATGAGTTTAGGTTTTTGTTTCTTTGATTAGTAATGAGACAGGACTTTTGTGTGTTCATCCTTGCATTTCTACTTTTCTGAGTTATCAGTTTCTATCTCTGACCCATGTACCTACTCTATATTCAGAATTTGGGTTTGGGTAAAGAGATTTTCATGATGCATTTTCCCTTGAATTCAGATTTCTTAAATAATTTATTACTTATGAAGTCAAATTCTTTCTATTTTTTGTGATTTGTCTAATTATCTCTAGTTTTAGAAACATCTTCTCATTGGAGCACCTGGGTGACTCAGTCAGTTAAGTGCCTGACTCTTGATTTCAGCTCAGGTCATGATCTCGCGACATCAGGCTCTGTGCACTGATCGTGGAACCTGCTTGGGATTCTCTCTATCCCTCTCCTTCTCTGCCCTTCCTCTGCTCTCTCTCTCTCTCTCTCTCTCTCTCTCAAAAAATAAATAAAGTAATAAAAATTTTTCAAAAAAAGAAACGTCTTCTCTGTACATACCTTTCGACCCAACAATTATACTTCAGAAAAGCATGCAGAGATGGAAACACAGGGATGTTTATTTCAACTGTGTTTAGAAAGACAAAAATAAGATAAATAATCCACATGTGCATTGTCTAGCAGAGCAGCATGCATTGGTTATCAATCCCAAGAGAGCAGAACCACCATGCACTGGCTACCAATCCCAGGAGAGGACACCAACTACATGGAGGGTAGGAAAAATCATCACCATGACAACCACCAGAAATAGAAATCCAAACATTTTGCCCACCGCATCTTGGTATCAGAGTTGCCAAGGAAAATACAGCATAGTCAAGTACTGGATGGAACAATGATGAATTGACATTGAGAAGAGATGGCAAGATCAGCTTTAATAGTGCCTATTCGTCCCCCATAGTCTTTTCTAGCAGTGATACAGGGCAATTCAGCTCTAGTGCACCTCTCTTTTGCCACATGGAAGGACCTTGTCCCCATCCCATGGGAACAGACATAGCACTGGCATTGGTCAGGTGCTATATGATACACATGCTTAAGCAGAACAAAGGGGTACTCACTGAGCTTAAACATGGAAAGATAGAGTGGCTCAGTCAGTTAAACGTCCGACTTCGGCTCAGGTCATGATCTTGTAGTTCGTAAGTTTGAGCCCCACGTCAGGCTCTGTGCTGACAGCTCAGAGCCTGGAGCCTGCTTCGGATTCTGTGTCTCCCTCTCTCTGCCCCTCCACTGCTTGCACTCTGTCTCTCTCTGTCTCTCAAAAATAAATAAACATTAAAAAAATTTTTTTTT